CTAATGTTACTACTTTTTTACTAGAAAGTGAGAGTTGCTAATGTTACTACTTTTTTTACAGAAAGTGAGAGTTGCTAATGTTACTACTTTTTTTTACAGAAAGTGATCAGTTGCCTTAAAAATTATAGATCATTTAATTTTACTTCTCTAATAATGGAAGTCTGGTAAAAAAAGCTTCGTAAAATCACTCGGTGAAATACAGTATCATTAAAGAAAAGCCAAGGTGGATTCAACAAAGGGAAATATTGTTTTATTAATCTTATGTCAATTTTTTCTAGTATGTTATTTGATATCTGGTTGATGGAAAGGGGGTGGACTTGGTGTACTTGGATTTTCAAAAAGCTTTTGATAAGGTACCATACGAAAGATTAGCTAAGAAAATCACATTCATATGGATTTATGACTAGTTAAATCGATTATTGGGTGGTTGGATAGGAGAAATCAAAAGGACTTTGTTACTACTGTAGTGACTCCAGAATTACTGCTTGGGATTTTTCATATTTACGTAAATAATTGATAGGGGAATAACTAGTAAAGTTTACCGATGATATTAAATCCCTGAGTATTTCCAACTGTGGTGACGATGTTGAGGGCGTACTAAGAAACAGCTTGGGTCAATTGGTAAGCTAGAAAAATATATGGAAAATTACACAATGTGATGGATATGGGTTATCATAATTTGGATTCTATACTTAATACAGATGTTAACCCACTTAGTCACAGAGGATCTTGGCATAGAGTGAACAATCCATCAAAGTAGTGCTATGCTTCTAGCAGTAAACAAATAGAATTTTAGGGTTCATTTAAAAGACACTGATTAACAGCCAGAAAAGGTCATTATCTCTATATTAATCATTAGTTAGGCTTGGAATAATGTGTACAGTTTAGGTCTCTGTTTTTTCCTAAGAAGGGATATTGACTTATTGGAAAGGGTTCTGAGAAGAGCTACTAGGATGATTACAGAAACAAAAATGTTATGTTATGGAGGTTAGTTAAGATCTAACTTACTGAAGTTTACAAGATTATCCAAAGATCAATATGATAAAGGCCTTTGATTTCTTTAGGCTTTATTCTGAAGACAATGGGATGAGAGAACAAAAGTTTAGATGTGGAAAACACAGACTGGGCTTTAATTAAGACAGTTTTATTTCTCTAACATGGCAAGTAGCTTAAATACAGACTTATTAAGACAGTTTTATTTATCTAACATGGCAAGTAGCTTAAATACAGACTTATTAAGACAGTTTTATTTAGCTAACATGGCAAGTAGCTTATGAAATGATTTGCTATCAACAATATTTGAGGATAGCATTTTACAAAAATTTAAAAGAGGAATTAAAAATTTGTTAAAAAATAAATTATGGGTTTAAGCTTACTTCTTCAAAAGAACAAATGTGCAGAGACAGCCTTGAAGGATCAAATAGACACGTGTTGTCCACAAGTTATGTTTCTGTAAGTCTTAGAAATAACAATAATATTTAGGAGATAAGAAGCCAGTGTCAAAAACAAATTTACATCAATTCATAAAAAAAAAATAAGTTGTGTAATTTTTCTATCAGTATAATCAGATGCTTGAAAAACCCTCATGAGGCCAGTCACGTAGGAATATCTGCAATCAGTACGCAGATACAAAGTTCCTTGTATTTGAATTATGAAACTTTAGAAGTTAAAATTCATTGTCTGTTAAAATTAGACTGTTTGAAAACTAAATTTTTCTCCAAATTACTCCTTTAGCTAGTAGAATTTTTCAAAAAGTAAGTATTAATAAGAACTGCTCTTAAAATAATAATGAAGCAACATAATTAAAGCACAACAATGTGAAAAGTTTTCATTGCTAAAAACTACAATAATATTATAAAACTGTAGAGAAATTTAAAACATTTTTGGAAGTTTTGGGAAAAACCCATTTGGGCCATTTTTAAAAGAAGGATACCGTTGGTCAACAGGAAAAGAAGTTACACTCTCCAAGTCTGGAATTGCAATCTGACTATGTTTCATTATTAAATCAGCCCATAAAGTGTTCTCACTCTTTTCCCCATCAGAAAGACAATCCGAAAAATATGACCCCCACATCTCGGATGTCAGCAATCCAGAAGATTCTTCAGAAACAATTTCCTGAACTACGGCTACTGACTCGCAGCTTGTGAATTTAGATGGTGCAAACACATCTTCCAGTACTGAATCTCCAATGTACAGTATCTTTGGTTTGGATTTACCAACAAGTTGAGCAAAAAATGTATGCAATTCTTGCCAATTTCCCTGAGAGTAAATTCTTCCTGGTTGAAGACCTTCTTTAACTACCGATGTCTCATTTATTCCATCCAAGTTGAGGAATGGACGATTTGCAATAAAAAATCCTGGCTTGCATGCATACGTGATAATCAGATCAAATTTATCTTTCCACTTTGGACCAAGGCAAAACTCTGCCAAATAAGAGGCATAGTCAACATTTGAGCCAGTCAAAAGGTAAGTTTTCTTCTTTGAGTGTAAGTCATCCAACCATTTTCTTAAGTTAGTGTCACAAGGATTAATATACGTACTTATGTCTCGCTGAATAGCTGGGAAATATCCTCCCACTTGCTTTATAAATGCATCTCGTTGAAACATATACATAAAGCCATCATAAACATCTTTCCAAAAATCATAACAAATACTTGACTTTCCCTGTTCTTTGTCTAAAGCATCAACAATCTGAGCACAAGTCAGTGCAGGGGCAATAACAAAATTATCTTTAAAAACAAAGAAAGGTTGAATTTGATTCTGGTAACACAGCCGATCAGCAAGATTCATAACTGGTTCCCATATTCGATTGGTACCATAGATATGTCTAATTTCATCACTGGTCATTCTTGTAGTACCGTGTGAGGCTCGTACAATTGAGTGGTCATGAGAAAGTTTTAAAAAGTTTCCCCTAGCTTTGTCAACAATAAGTCCTTTTGAAAGAAAATCAGTTGACACAACTGGAGTTTGGCACAATGATGGGGGATAATTTCGATTCTTAACAAGAAAATCTGCCAGGATACTCCATACAAGCTCAAATGTTGGTAATAGCTTGTATTTCGCTATCGTGTGATCAAGATCAAACCCTATAACATCATAGTCAGCAAAACTAAAAGTGGAATTAACTGAACCCTTATCCTCAAAGCCAACTGAAAGGCTTGAATGTACAAATCTCAACTGTTGACACTTTAACCATGTACTATGTAAATGAAATGGTTTGATAAAGTCTTCTAGAAATACTGTAGCCCGAGAACATGTAAGAAGACATTTAGTGATATGACTCCAGCCTGGGTAACTCTGCCTGCTAAGCACCAGTGCCTTAAGAGCAAGAGACATTTTTGCCTTTTGATGATCTAAAAGAAAATACAAATAAGTAAAAACTAGATAGATGTCACATACACATTGTTATCAATCATATAGCATTAACTAAAGATATTTATCAAATTGAAACTATAATTCTTGTCATACAGTTTCCAATCCACTGTTAACCCTACACCACAGCCCAAATAATCCCCATTACACTACTCTCTCTATATATGTTGTGTGTCACAATCTTTAAGACACTTACAGTACATATAAAACAGGTTTGATTCACTATCAGGCATAAATCTTTTACAGGTATTCTGACTGGTCCAATATAGCACTAAGGTTAACATCCTATATCACACACACTCTTTATGATTGGCTAAATAGATTAACATGCTTACATTGTGAATCACAAAAATTCTAGGGTTGTATATCAATAAACAATTAAATTATTCATCCACTACTAAACAAATCAATCCCAGTACAGCTTCGGACTCTAGACCATACATCACAAAAGTCACGTAGGGTAATACAATATTAAATACTACAACCTTTTCTTAGAGAAAATAAACATTTAAACAGTACATATGTTTTCTCATAGTTAAGTTTTAGTAAAATGAGAAATCTTATTATATTCCATGTGAAATGCTGAACCAAGAACTCGTAAAAAGAATAACCATATCTATGTAATGTATTGGTTGAACAAAGAGCTCTTGAATTAACTTTACCAAACAGGTACTTTACTTGCTCTCAAGCATAGAAACAAGTTGTAAAACTAAAAGATAAATTTTGCCCTTTACAAACTGACATACCTAGTAATGAAATACCCAGACTATCACAGTCACAGTATAGAGTAGTCCTAACTATGTCAAATGTATGATTTACATTAAATAATAGCTGGATTCATTTGGCTGATTATTTTATTAAAACATATAGTAATGAAATACCCAGACTTTCACAGTATAGAGTAGTACTAACTATGTCAAATGTATGATTTACATTTAATAATAGCTGGATTTATTTGGCTGATTATTTTATTAAAACATATAGTAATGAAAGACCCAGACTATCACAGTCACAGTACAGAGTAGTACTAACTATGTCAAATGTATGATTTACATTTAATAATAGCTGGATCCATTTGACTGATCATTTTATTAAAACATTTTTCAATGTGACTTCAAAGGGTAAGTTATATCTCATAAAATATGCACATTACAGATCTAGTTATTTCTTCTTTTTTCACCAAATACTCAATGAAAATTCATAACATTCTTAACACATGTACTAACAGAGCCATAACTAGGCGGAGTGAATGACTCACAAAGGAGCTATCTGCAACAATTCTCACAAGGGAAGGTACAAATATGATGGTCTGCCTTGGGCGATAAATTGCCAAATATACTTATCTCAATGTCAGTTTTACTAAGTTCTCAACTAACATAACTTCAATAAAAGCCTTTTCTTTTTTCCCCATTAAATACAGTTATTCATTATGTAGTGATAAATGGTTTATGAAATTTGGAAAGGTTCTTTAAATGGTAAGGCTATTTTTGTTGAACTTCAGTTGAAGATGACAATCATCTACATTATAGTTAATGTTACACATTTTAAATATTAATTTTTACCATTTCGAAGCATATCTAAAATTTAAATGCCATATTAACTACATTCTTAAATATTACAAAACGTTGTGCAAGATCTCACTCATGAGTCGTAATACTATATATTAATAGCCATATTGTTTTTACATGTACTTACCTAATAAAGTGACATTCTAACCAGAATTCTTTAATATAAAAACTTTAAATTTTATCCTATTACTCGAAACTTCAAATTGGCACGCCCCTTTAAACTAAACGTGTAGTAATATTAAACTATATTACACTTTGAGATATTTGGATACTACTTTTTTAAGTCTTACACCGGCTAGCTATCACTGCCCCATACGCATTTTTGAG